TAGGGTAGAGTACGGGGTATGTGTGGGTTAGGGTATAGGGAATGTGTGGGTTAGGGTAGAGTACGGGGTATGTGTGGGTTAGGGTAGGGTATAGGGTATGTGTGGGTTAGGGTAGAGTACGGTGTATGTGTGGGTTAGGGTTAGGGTAGGGTTAGGGTTAGGTATTTTGGGCCACTGTTCATGTATGTCTGGCTCTGTAGGTTAGTATGTTATTTTGGGGTTAGTTAAATTCTACCTAAAATAACCTGACCTGATTTTACAATAATGTCTATGAGGTGCATATAGGGTTAGTTGTGAGTAGCTGCACATTAGCGTTGGAAGCTCATAAATAAAGATCTACGCTGCAGACGGTGCCTCACCGGAGCCTCCAGGGGCTCCTAGGTAGCAGGGAAGGCCCAACAGAAACATCAGACTATACATTCATCATGCAGTTATGCGTGTAACACATGAACAGTTATGGGATGGTTTGGAGCCCATGGTCCTCAGGCATCAGCGGTCACACCTTGTAGGAATACGATTTAGGACTGACTCATTGCCACAAGCCCTTTTCACCCCCTTTTAATAAGGCTGTGATTTGCTATTGCTACGTTTTAAGAGGTCAAATAAAAATATTTATCCAAGTTCTAATGCCCTTGGGGAAAATCAGAGAACGAGGCCAAAAACATGGCCGTCTGATTTCAGACCCCAAGCAGGACTGACCTGACATCATGCTCAAACCGAAATGGTTGACCCTAGAAAACCAGTCATACTTGATTGGCTCACCAACAAAAGTGGTCACCTTGATTGGCTCACCTTATTGATGTACTCATCCTGATTGGACATCAAGAGGAAACCACCATCATCCAATATCACACAGTCCACGTGCTGCAAAGCAGAGGAGAGGCATGTCATCAGGATGGACATGAGAGACCACTACATGCTGCATACAAAATCCAGGCAGAAGACAGACGTTCAGTGCACCTTGGCATTCCTCTGACATCCACAGATCTCATTCTTCTCGCACTGTAGAAAGAGTGCAGACAAGGACAGGTCTTACGTAAGAATCTTGTGATATGCAGACAGTGACGTCACTGAACATTTAGAAACCATATACAGATCAGCAGGGTCATCAATACCACAGTGATGCTATTGATACGTGTCATATGTATCTCTTATGTGGAATCAAAATTGCTTCTTACATTCCCCTTGAAGGTAGCACTCATGAAGTTCTCCATCCAGGCCGTGACATTGAGCTTCACCCCAACCACTGAAAATGTCAAAAAATGGGAAACTGTCTGAGAGAGTGTGGAGCTGCAGACACATAGGGGTCAGGAGACAGGAGTGATGAAGAGAAGAGAAAGGCCGGTCCACACTTCGCTTACCGGCTGGCTTCAACGTGGCTGGGTCGATGTTCACATCCACGGACCTACTCACCAAAATGCTGGAATCGAAGGCAGACGAGGCGTTTCCTGAGCGGAGACATGGAGGGTGAGGTCAGGTTAAACCATGTCGAGACGGGAGGGCTGCATGTCAGCCAGACGCCGTGTTTGTTGGGGGGGGGGGGGGGTGTCCTAGCTACATGGGGAATCCCCACAGCATGACTGGCGTTACACAGCTCAGTCTGCGGCCTTTCCTCAGGATGGGGTGGAGTTCACTTTCACATGAAGGAAGCACTGGCCTCCAACTCCAATGTCCTTGTGTGGCTCACTATGTTAGGATGCTGTGCATGTGATCAGGAGGTTGCTGGTTCATATGCCAGGGTAGCAGATCTGAATCCTGGGCAAGTCGCCTAACCCTCCAAATAATCCAGGGACTGACTTGACCCTGTTTTCTCAAAAATGTACATCTCTATGTATTAAAGCATCTGCTAAATAAAAACGTTTTTAGAAACGTCAGAAATGTTCACCCCATTGCAAGGGGAGATATTGAGTACGTCACTAAAGAAAAGGACATGCCAGGGTATGAAACGGCGACCCCCCGAGCAGCAGTCCAGCCGCCCTGACCCCAGGGTTACGGCCCCCTAGTGCACGCCGGGGAGCCATACTGCTTTCGTAGGGTGGTGCTGTAAAGACGTAGACGCTGTTGTCCAGACTCCGCTTGTAGAAGCTTGACTCGTATGTCTCAGGATTCTCTGTCCACTCCTCACCGGCGCTGAAAAGGGACACATTTCAGTCCAAAGTCGGTGCTGGCCCAAGTGCAGACCCGACAGGAGCTGAAGGCATGACTGCTGAACACCGTGGACCGTTCATACAGGCACGTCATGCTCCAGTCACACGCGCACCTCACCTTTCTATATGCTGCCTGCACCAGGTTCGAATAAGACTCCCTAGCAGCCACTGGCTCAGGCAGTCATTTACAGAGCGGAGAGGCCGACATACTGGCACTGCTCGCTTACGCGGTAGCTGCTGTTAGGGAGCTGGATGGGGCTCATGGAGCAAACATGCAGCCCAAATAAGGGGGGGGGGGGTCGTCGTCTGGAGCTGTGTTATCTAACGCAGAGCAGCTGTAAGTGGATGGCCCGGCCCGGCCCAGTGCAGCCGCTGATTTATACGCCCCGCAAGTGCGATTTTATGTGTCCTAACAACCTGAAAGCCATAATCTAACGCAGACTGAGGGAGGCTAGGGGTTAGGAGCAAGTGGGGGGTGGGGGCATCGTAACACAGTAACACATGGGGGAGGGAGATTGAGGAAACAAAGATCCAGGCAAAGCCAGAAATGGGAAAGAGCATGCGGGGCAAGTGCTTGCACTGCATTTCAGCATCGGGGCACTTTGAGCTGCATGATGGTGGATGGGGAAGCACAGGGAGGAGTAAGGTGGATGAAGGAGGGGGAAGAGAGGGAGGGAGTGGGAGATGGATGAAGGAGGGGGAGAGAGGGAGGGACAAGGAGGTGGATAAAGGAGGAAGGAGAGAGGGAGGGAGTGAGTGGGAGGTGGATAAAGTAGGGGAGAGAGGGAGGGACAAGGAGGTGGATAAAGGAGGAAGGAGAGAGGGAGGGAGTGAGCGGGAGGTGGAAAAAGGAGGGGGGAGAGGGAGGGAGTGAGTGGGAGGTGGAAAAAGGAGGGGGAGAGAAAGCAGGGAGCAGGAGGTACATAAAGGAGGTGAAGAGAGGGAGGGAAGAAGAGGGAGGCGGATAAAGGAGGGGGAGAGAGGGAAGGAGCAGGAGGTGGATAAAGGAAGGAGAGGCTGGGAAGGAGGGACAGGGAGGCGGACGTAGCACTCAAGCAGAGGTGGGCACCAGCAGGGCTCCCTCACACCCAGGGAGTTAAACCATGTGCCAGGAACCTGGAGGCTGCTGCCTCCGGGGTCAGGAGCACAGTAGACAGGCCATGCAGACATGAAGCGGTACCTTTTCGGGTACACACGGGTGATCCCTCCGTCGGTGGCCACGAACCTGGCGAGGACCCCCGGCTTGCTTTTTGAGAGAACACAGGAGCTCATTAGCGAACTACTGCACCCCTCTCCCCCACCCCCAAAGGTTCCACTCCCCACAGTCCCCAAAGCCCCTCTCTGTCCAGTATGAAATATAGCATGGGGCCGATCCCTCACCTTGCGTCCAAAACACGAGCAGGAGCCGAGAGGAGCAGCATTCCTGCGAGTGTCTCACACCCACGGACTGACCACAATTTCTCCTTATTCCCCAGTCAAACAGACCCACCTTAATAAGACTAAGCAGTATCTGCAACATCAGGAGGTTCATTCTTTAATTTATTACTTTTAAGCTTATTCTATTACTGGTTTTCCTTTATGTATTTATTGTCTTTTTACTCACATTATCCTTTGTCATATTGCTTTCTGTGCTGCTGGACAAAGGAAATTTCCCCTCAGAGCAATCAATAAAGTACATCGGATCTTATCCCCTCAACACGGAAGGTTTTTGATGCGGCCTGTACAGGCTGCTGTGACGTGTCGTCATGGAGACTTACAGGGGCTGACTCTTCCAGGACTGGAGCAGATCGGCTGTCAGTCCCGCATCCAGGAGCAGCCGGTTCACCAGGGACACATTGCCTGGGAGAGCAAGAACAGCACCTTGGCCTGGGCTCTCGCCTGAGCCGAGCAGCCCTCTGGAGGGTCCATAGCCCCCCCCCCCATTTCCCAGCCCGCTGCTGAATAAGAGAGATTCCAGTCTATTAGCCCCATATTAAAGGGCCTTGTGTTTCCCCACTTTTCAGATGCTGAAAGCCACATACACCAAAAAGGACACTTTTACAACACCTGGTAGATACATTAGCAGCTTCTACCTTGGAAATGTGCAGTACTCATGTGTTCCACTCAAACATGACTTGACTAATATTGGAGGATAATACCCGAGAGTGATGTGTTTGAGAAGAAGCAGAGCTCAAACTTCACGGGAGGGATTTCCCCATGGCCTCATTTTGGATCGGCACCGGTCCGTTTATGGAGCTGGACGGACACCAAACGCCACAGGCCGGACATTATACATACATTGTAAGTCACGCTGCAAAACACAAGAGCTGAAAGAACCTTCAGGATATCAATTGTTTTAATCTGTACTGTGGCCGTTGAGCTTTTCATTTACAGGTGGTTGTTTGCTTTTTGGTTAGAGCTTCACCTCCGGGAAGCATTAGGTCTTCTGATGTCCTCAGTAAACAACATTTATTAGGAAGTTAGAAGACTGAAAACCAGCACATTCAAAGATGACCCATGCTGGATTTCACGGACGTGCAATGACGTCCATCACACGTCAGCCAACGCGCAAGGGCACGGTCGATCTCTACATTACGCGGATCTCAGACGCGATCGTTTACATATCGGGGGAAGGAGACCCAGTGGCCCATCCGAGTCACGACTATCGGCTCAGGACACCAGGTCTGATGGCTCACCTGAGCTGTGCAATAAAGTGACTCATCGCACAGAAAGTATCACCGTGACCTTGAGTCAACTCAGAAAGTCTAATGATTTTCTCGATGGGGAGGGGGGGGACCTTCATGAGGAAATTGATGAGAAACAAAAATATTGATTCACGTTCAACTTGGCGTATGACCTCAGGTAGAGTGAGCCGCAGCCGGTAATCAAACGCTTGTTTGTGTAACGATATACAGAGGCGCACTCTCCGGCTCAGCGGCAGAAACTCAAGACGAGCTTAGGAGGCGGCTCAGCGGGAGAGCCAGGGGCCACTCGCATGTCCAAAACACGCTAAATAAAACATACGTGGAGGATGTGAAATGAAACACGTTTAGCGGAGCCTGGAAATATAGACTGCTGGGGGGGAGGGACGCGGTCGGCGCAGCTCACCATTTCAAAGCCCCGGTGCGAGAACATCATGCTCACAGCTCGCTAACACGAGTGCCGGCTTTCAGGTCACATGACGGACGGCATCTCTGCGGCACGCTGTCAAGTTAACAGCGACACGGGATCCCCGCAGGCCTCGCGCACATGCCGGAGGTGCCATTAAAATAGGATAGCCCAAAAACGGACATTTACTGGCGGGCTTCTCACACACAGCCCATTAGAACTAAAAGCCCAGAACAAAATCACCGCACAAGGCAACGACTGCCCTGCCTGTCCCACTTAGAGTGTG